AGCAGGAATCTAAGCGTGAAGAGATGACTGCAGCAAACAGGCAGCTGAAGATGGAAAGAGAAGTTCACCAACAGGAGTTGGCAGATCTTAGATTGGAGTTACAAAATGTTAAAATCAAACATGAAAGAAATGTTCAAGAGCTTATGAAACTGCTTAGAGAAGAAAAGGATGATGCAGAGGCTCAAATTAAAATGCTAAAGGTACTTAGTCTGGAGAATTCCAATGTCAGACTTTTTTTTCTTCTTCTCCTCTATTAAGTGATGAAGGTAATAAGGCATAGACTTTAAAACATTTAACACGTTTTATTGCAGGTTATCATAAAACTTTAAAGTTCAGGGTGAAAAATACAACAGACATTTTTTAGGTCAAAAGCTTTTCTTAGTACAAGTGTAGTGAGATATGTATGGCTGTGATCAGAATAGGAGATATGTGAGACTGTAGTGTTTTAATTTTATTTGATCTTCTTCAAGTGTCATTTTTACCATTATTGTCAGAGCCCTATTAAAGAACTTGGGTTATTTCAGGGATGATGCATGTTTAAACTGCATGATGCAGAAAGACTGTAATTGTATCTGGAAAGACATGCAGAATGTGAATAGTGATAATGTATAATGCTTGCTAAGGTTAATTTTGATAATTCTTTCTATTTCAAAGAGTTTTTAGGATTTCTAATTTCTGTACAATTTCTTTAAAAAATAACTATATTCATACAGTAAATAATGAAGTATAGTATTTTATTAATGAAGGATCAAGTTAATGTCTCTAGTTTACATAACTTGTTCCTGATTCAAGGTTCTTTTATTGGAAAGAAAATTAGCTTTTTCGTGGCTTTCATTTAACTGAAGAAAATTGAAAAGCTAAGTTAAAGTGTCTAAACTGCACAATTAGCTCTCAACAGTTGTATAAGGTGTACATTGCTCTTTTATTGAATCAATTTGTATTACATGGCTTTATATATATATGTAAGAAAGTACTTTGTATGTTGTAATAATAATAATTTCTATATTCGTATTAATGGAGGCAGTAGTTTTCCAGATATGTTGGTAAATTACCAACATATTTTAAGTGTGCTTCTGAAGCACTATAAATGTTTTCTACCTCAGTCCCCTCAAATTAAATATTTGCTCATGTCAAAAGTCTACCAATTTAATAAGAAAAAGCTATAAAACCTTAATCAAACTTAAGTGATTCATGATCTACTTCATAGGCATGTTTATTTCATTCTCTTCTCACAAATATGCAACTAGTTAAAAAAATGTATATTTTCCACATTTTGTAATTATGAATTGACATTATTTAGAAAAGGATGGTTAGTTATTTAATATATAGTTAATGGCATAATAATTGACAATAATTCTTAAGCACTTGGCAACACAGAAAGCATTTAATGAAGATAGCAATAACAATTCAAGATGGTTGTTAGTGGAAGGATCATTAAAATAAAAATATTTTGACAGCAGTGCTTAACACTGCAGACTCAATCTGTAATATGTCTAGCATTATTTAAATTATCTGTCCAAATATGTTTGGTTTTCTTTGACAATAACATTGACATTGAAAATGTACATTTAATATCAAGCAGATGGAAGGAAAGTGAATTTAGGATGTCAGTAATCAGAAAATGAGTTGATTGTGACTCTGTGTCCTTTTTCTGTGGAAAGGTCAATCTTACTGTATAGGCCTTGATATTGGTCCTGATTCTTGCACCTAAACAGAATATTAATAAAAATTCACTTCCTTCTTTCATTTACAGTGCCATGACTTTCCCAGAACCCTAAATCTACACACAATTTTTTTTGCAGCTTTGTATCTCTGCAACAGAGCAGAGTGCTTGAAGATTAATTTTGTAAGACATTAGGGTAGGCAGCGTGTTTTAGAAGTACACAAAATGATAATGCACAACATTGTCTAGACTGAAAACTGGAAGCGCAGCAAAACAGATAAGCATATCCATCTGTAGGAAGATCTAATGAGAACATGTAATTGTGCAGGTGATTTGGTTACTTTTTTTTCTAAACTCATCTTGGTTACTTTTTGTCTGAACTCATTACATTCTAATTGGGTTTCACTTTGGTCATACTTTTCTTCCAAATTAAGGTAAACTTAGCATGCAGTTTATCAAATTCTATTTTAACACATTTATTAAGACCCGAAGCCTTAACTTTAACTAGAGGAGAAAATTTTAGGAGTTGCTTTCAGGAAATCAAGGATGTAGAGCCCTATGTTTCCATGACCAACTGCTGCATAGGTTGCAGTAAGAACTGTCTTTTGATCCTTCTTGTTCTTCCCTCTCTTTTCTTCTTTATGTGATACTTTCTGCTTCACTCTTGCCTGGTTTTCTGTAGTGCTGCACTGGATTGAAAAATTATAAGGTAGTTAAAGATGTTTTGGGTGGTAGGGGAGGTACCATAGAAGTATTGTATGTTGCAGTAGAACTGCAGAAGAACTTAGATGTTAGTGTTGAGAAGGATCTTTCTTTCTCAGTACTGAGATTCTAGTGTTGAAGGTTTAATTCTGTTTCTGCTAGGTCCTCCTGAAGTATTGCTAACCAATGTCTCTCTAATGTATTTTTTATTTAAAATGATAGATAAACCATGCATAGGAAATTAAGTGCTTTGCTTAGTGGTCCCTAATCAGCTATGTTTTCAGAAGCTCTGAATCTGTCCTCTAATACTACTTCATGTACTCATTTGCTTTAAAAACATTCTTGTTCTCTTAGGATAACGAAATACAAAATTTCTTCATGCCTGAGCGTACTTTCAATTATTAATCCTTAATTTAAAATTATATATATACATATAAAATTGTGTATATATGTGCATTTCTTTTTTAATTGCTTTGTGTACATATACCAAGTGGGTGTAGTTCTTTTTTTCCCCGAAGATTATCAGATGGGGAAAATGAATTCAATCCAGAATCAGTTAAATTATTGTCACATCTGCCTTGTCAGTACTGGAAATTAATAAAAATTAACTTTCTTCATTGTGTCTCAAAGGTAATATTAGTGAGAACTTTGATTATTGGATTATTTCCATCTGTATACACCTTATAATACAATTACAGTTACCTTTAGTATGAAAACTGAAAAGTTGATTTTATAAGCATATTCACATAAAATGTTTTAGGCATTGCAGATTTGCTTTGTGTCCATAAGTCTCTGTGGACTTAGAACACCATATTTCTTTCTCAGCATTGTCCTTCAGAGGAGCTTTTGTACTCTATTAATTCTGATGTTTAACTTAACTCATAAACTTCTCTCCTTATCCCTCTTCCCCATAAAAGTTATATGTAATTGAGAGAATTTTCGCTTTTTCTCAGGAAGGAATTTACTCTGCAGGGGTTTTTTATGTGTAACTGCTTTCCACAATTCATCTAAGCTTCATATGAAGCTGGTTTTGCATAATATATGTTTAATTTCCTTTTTTTTTTTTTTGTGGGGTTTAAAAATTATTTTTTAGTTTTTTGCATTTTTTATATATTCTAGAGAATTTCTCATATCTGTCAGTTTCAATCAGTTATCTTTTCTACTGGAAACCAATGTACTTTATACACTCAGTTATTTAGGGCTTTCAAGACCTTTAAATGTTTTCTTAATTTCTCTTTGCAGTGTTTCCATTAATAGTATTAAAACCACACCATTCTGGAAATTAGAAATAGCAGACCTTTGCTGTTGTTTCCTTGCAGATGTAAGTTTAGCATTAGGTTCTGAAATGAAATTATAGATTTGGGCTTTCCAATTCCAAATAATTTTAGTAATGGAAAAGTTGCATAAATACTGGGCTTCCGAAGGTGATGTAAGCTAATGAGTGTAGCAGAGTTGAAGTGCAGAATCTGAGACTTCTTTCTGTTTTTAAAACACTCTATGCTTGCACAGCTCTGTAATATGTGTTTTCCATGTTTGGATAAGTGATTGCACTAAATATAACTGAAATGTAAAATATTAAATAGAATTATCCTTCTGTAATAGTGCTCAGTGGTTTTGAAACTACCATCTGGGAATGTTTTAAAATAACCCATATAGTGACTTTGTAATCTTTTTTCCCATTATCATCAGATGGAACTTGTGGAAGAGAAAAACATAGTCAAAACTCAGTGTCGACAACTGGAGAAGATAAAAATTGAGTGTGATAAATTGACAGAAGAATTAACCCAAAATGAAGAAGAAAATATAAAACTCAGGCGGAAATGTGAGTTTGTAAAACAAGAACTGGAGAAAAAGGTAAACTTACCTGGTTTTGACCGTGATTTGTCAGTCTCTCTGCTGACAAGTAACTAAAATAAATTATAAATTATAGGAATAGATGGTAACATTAAAATGGAAAAAAGACATGTATATATTGAAGAATATTGACAGTCACGCTGTAGTACACAGTTTTTGTATAAATCAAAGCTGCAAATCTTCTTTGGCTGAGTCATGATTTGTATCCCTCTGAAGATTTGCTAATACTATTTAAGAGTAGAAATAGAAGTCCTTTTGCCTGCCCTGTTTCTAATATAGGTAACTGACAAATGTTTAACCTGGCATTTCTCTTAGCTTGTTAAACTAACAGAAAGTGCTTTAAAAGATCGACATGTTAGACTAATAAAAAGTTCCTCAAATCAAAATTCAAAATGTGTATTTTTAGGGTTGGTATTGTAGCTCTTATCTATTAATAAGGAAATGTGTTTGCAGCAATGAGTGTACATAGTCTCCTGCAGTCAGTAGTAATCTCACTCCAACCTTACATAATACTGGGAAGATACAATTTTTATACTCAGATGATCTTTTGTGTTAAGGGTGAAAAGGAATGGAGAAGCTTGTAAGTGCACAGTCCTGTGTTCTCAACCTTTGAAGTTAAATGCAGATGGAGAGTTCCACTTGATTGCAATAATTAGTTGATTTAAGAGAGTATTTACTATTGGTTTACTATGTATTGTCAGAAGGGGTGTTAGGATGGGAGAAATGATCATATTATCTCTCAAGAAATCTTGTACTAGCTGTCATATTGTGGTATTGCAGAAGCCCATAGTGTTAAAAAGAATTACCTTTTTTCCTTTTTGACACTTTTTATACTTCTAATGTCATTCTGTCCTTAGTGTAAATAGTAATTCAAAGAAAAGTATGTATTATAGATTGCTTGGATTATTATTTTTTTTTCATGCAAGATGAAAGAGCAGAGAATAATGGTACAATTTTCTGCTTCTTTTATTTTACTTCTTTGCACTTCTGAGTTATTAGCAACTTCATTTCTTCTGTAGGCTCTGAAAGTAGAATGTTGAGGAATGTTGACACACAGAAAATCAAACATGAAAAATAAAGGAAAAAATACTGAGTTATATGCTCTCGTTTGGTCATGGTCTTTGGGAGTGAACTTTTGCATATGATAGGACTGCTTTCAGTGACTCATGAAATAGCATAGAATACTGACACTGGAAGCATGTATAATGCAATCATACTGCTTTCAGAATACTGACCTAGATCAGAACTACTATTTCAGCTCCCAGAAATTTCTAATTTAAGTATTCTATTCTAAACTGCTATTTCAACTGCAGAAATACTGGAACCTCTGCATGTTAAAAATTCTTGTGATTCCTTCAGATTCCTTCAGAAATAGCTACTGTCTAACTGAAGTATTTTTGTACGATTTATATGAAAAAACAAACAAACAAACTGCTTATCAGGTATGGCTTTTTCACATTTAAAGTTCACCTATCTTAAAAAACACCAATTTTGCTAATAGATCTAACACCTGTATGTATGTATGTATACATGTACCGAGGTAGGTCTTGGTCTCCCAAGTTGCAAGTGGTAGGACAAGAGGAAATGGCCTCAAGTTGCACCAGGGAAGGTTTCGGTTGGATATTAGGAAAAAAAATCTTCAGTGAAAGTGTTATCAAACAGTGGAACAGGCTGCCTAGGGAAGTGGTAGAGTAACCATCCCTGGAGGTATTTGAAAGATGTGTAGATGTGGTGCTTAGGAACATGATTTAATGGTGTACTTGGTAGTGTTAAGTTTATGGTTGGACTCAATGATTGTAAGAGACTTTTCCAACCTAAATAATTTTCTGATTCCAGATATACCCCATTCACAGAACTTGTATGTTAGAAATCACCTAGCTCCACAGTGTCTCATGGGTGCAGCAGATTTCAAATAAATACAATTTAAACAGTTGAACCTTGTCATTGCAGAGGTCCGTAATTAATAATTTTTCAAATGTATTATTCTTATTTTTCTCACCATTCTCAGTGCACTTGCACATACTGATGTGCTTGTTAAAGTTTTTACCTTTTGCTGCAGTACATCCTCCTTATCTCAGCAGCAGACAGGTATGAACCAATTTCAATCTCACCAGATAATTTTGTTATATTAATTGCAATGCATAATTCAATATATAATATAACCAAACTGCTGCTGGGTTCAGTTTTACATGATGGTTCTATCACAAATATAAAGGAAGAGAACCTGAATGTTAAAGAAATATACAACATAATTAATTATCTTTCTGACAATGGATGATAACATAAAATGCTTTCCTCCATGTCTTATGAGATATTCTTTAAATTCTTTTTCTTTTGAGAACAAACACACTGACTGCCAATACAGGTTTCCTTTACGGATCTATTTTTGTGATGTCGCAGATGAGATGCCTGTAACTGATTCAGGGCAAAGATGGTAAGGGCAGTATTTGTTGCAGGCTCTCTTTCTACTGGTGAAAAATATTAATAATAGAATACCTGGTTTTGACTCTGAAAATAGGCTTTCTGATTGTTGGGTTTTGGTAGCAGTTTCTTCCTAACTGATTTACAGGACAGCAAGGAAAATCAAAAGAAGAACTTATGAGTACTATTAGAAGGTATTATTTTCCATGGCAAGGAACTCACTCCTCAGTGCATGAGTGAGTACAGTGTGATTAAAAGATTGAAAGATATATTGTTAATGATATATGTAATATTATGAATGCAATAATTTATCTTTGTTTGTTTTTTTTCTCTTTCACTCCAGGATAAACAGATCAGCAATGAGGAAGATCATTTGAGAAGGATGGATGAAGCCAGACTGCAGTTTAAGGATCAGCTACGTCACTTAGAAGTGGAACAGGAATCTATTCTCACCACGATAGGAAGTGAAATTGATGCCGTGTGTGAAATTTTTTCTCGGGACTCCATGGAGAAATACAAAGTAATTCTAAGTTTTAAGTATGCTACAGTTTTTGTTGTTTTCATAATGAATGTCTGTCGGTAGCAGAATTTGTGTGCATTGTTGTCACTTAACTGGTATAGATATTTTATGGACAATAGGATTATTGATATTTAGCTGGTACATATGCACATTGCTAAGTCTTAGAATGGAATACCATGGAGATCTGCCCATGTGTTAGTCGTTACTACTTTCTTTTGTCATTTTTTTGTGGGGGAGAAATAGTTGTTTCATTTGCTTCTGTGAAATCACAGAATCATAGAACCATTCAGGTTGGAAAAGACCATTGGGATCACCAAGTCCAACCACCATCCCTACTCTACTAAGTTCTACCCCAAACCATATCCACCAACACCACATCCAAATGACCCTTAAACACATCCAGGGATGGTGACTCAAAAACCTCCCTGGGCAGCCTATTCCAGTGTCTAACCACTCATTCTGTGAAAAAATCTTTTCCTAATGTCCAGTCTAAACCTCCCCTGTTGCAGCTTGAAGCCATTCCCTCTTGTTCTGTTGCTAATTACGTGTGAGAAGAGACCAGCATCAACCTCTTTGCAGTGACTTTTCAGGTAGTTGTAGAGACTGATGAGGTCTCCCCTCAGCCTCCTTTTTCTCAGACTAAAGATTCTAAGCTCCTTCAGGCATTGTTCATAAGATTTATTCTCTAGTCCCTTCACCAGCTTCATTGCTCTCCTCTGTACTTGCTCCAGCACCTTTATATCTCTCTTGAATTGAGGTGCCCAAAACTGGACACAATACTCCAGGTGTGACCTCACCAGTGCTGAGTACAGGGGGACAATGATGTCCCTACTTCTGCTGGTCACCCTATTTCTAATACAAGCCAGGATGCCATTGGCTTTCTTGGCCACCTGGGCACACTGCTTGCTCGTATTCTGCCACTTGTCAATTAGAACCCCTAGGTTCTTTTCTGCCAGGCACTTTCCAGCTACACTTTCCCAAGCCTGTAGTGTTGCGTGGGGTTGTTGTGGCCCAAGTGCAGGACCCAGCTCTTGGCCTTGTTGAACCCCATCCCATTAACATTAGCTCAATGATCTAATCTATCCAAGTGTCTCTGTAGAGCCTCCCTATCCTCGTGCAGATCAACACTCCTGCCTAGCTTGGTGTCATCTGCAAACTTACTGATAATACACTCCATGTCCTTATCAAGATCATCATTAAAGATGTTAAACAGAAATGGTCCCAACACTGAGCCCTGAGGAACACCACTCGTGATTGGCCACCAGCTGGATTTGACTCCATTGACCACCACTCTTTGGGCCTGACTGACCAGCCAGTGCTTGATCCAGTAGATCATATGCCCATCCAGGCCATGAGCAGCCAGTTTCTTTATGAGAGTTCTATGGTGAACAGTGTCAAATGCTTTTTGCAGGTCCAGATAGACAATATCCACAGCCTTTCCCTCGTCCAATAGTTGGGTCATCAGGTTATAAAAGGAGATCAGGTTTGAAAAGGAGATCAGGTTTGTCAGGCAGGACCTGCCTTTCATAAACCCATGCTGACTTGGCCTGATCCCCTGGTTATCCTCTATATGTCTTCTAATAACCCTCAAGATGATCTGCTCCATGACCTTCCCTGGTACCGAGGTCAGTCTGACAGGTCTATAGTTTCCTGGATCCTCCTTTCTGCCTTTCTTATAGATGGGTGTTACATTTGCTACCCTCCAGTCTATTGGGACCTCCCCAGTTAGCCAGGACTGCAGGTAAATAAAGTGGCTTGGCAATCGTGTCTGCCAACTCTTTTAGCACTGTTGGATGTAGCCCATTCGGTCCCATAGACTTGTGTGGGTCTAAGTGGTGTAGTAGGTCTCTGACCACTTCCTCTTTAATTGTGATGACCTCATTCTGCATCCCCTCTCTCTCTCCTAGGTCATGTGGGTCAGTATCCATGGAATAGGTAGTTCCACTGCTAAAGACTGAGGCAAAGTAGGTGTTGAGCACCTCAACCTTTTCCTCATGCTTTGTTACTAAGATTCCCTCTGCATCCAATAAAGGATGGAGATTTTCCCTAATCCTCCTTTTGCTGTTAATGAACTTATAGAAACATTTTTTATTATCTCTAGCAGCTGTAGCTAGTTTGAACTCTAGCTGTGCTTTGGCTCTCCTACTTTTCACCCTGCATAGGTTCACTTCATCTTTATAGACTTCATGAATGACCTGTCCCCTCTTCCAAAGATCATGAACACTATTTTTATTCTTAAGGTCCAGCCAAAGGTCCCTATTTAGCCAGGCTGGCCTCCTACTTTGCTTACTGTTTTTTTGGCACATGAGGACCTTACATCAGCCAGAATTTTGGGACAAGTTTTCCTAGGCCATCTCCCTAGAGGTTGGAAATCCCCAAGCAAAGACCTTATAGCGTTAGAGAAAAAATGAAATAAATGTTGTATTAAAAATTAATTTATACACTTTTGGTTTTGAGTAGAGAATTAAATGCTAGAAGTGAAAAGAGTTTATAACCTCTTCTTTTGTAGTGCAGGTTCTTGTATCCAGAAAACTCAGACTCAAAGTTTCAGGAAACTTGTAGCTTGCTGTAATTTTTTTTTTTAATATATTTTTTTTTTCACTCTTATTCTCCTACAACCTTTGTCTCCCATTAGTTTTTTTAAGGAGTGTTCTTATTTGTTTCCCAGGGACAGAACTATTTTCCTCTCTCCAGATGGTTCCATGAGACTAACCCTCTTAAACTGACATTTTTCACAGCTGAAAATAAAGAAGATAGTTTGACTCAGCTTGTCATCATGCTCACCGGCATTGTGGGTACTTAATCACAAGTGCTTGACCCAATGGCTTTTTAGCCTTAACTGTAACCATAGATACACTCAGATTTTATCTTTTTTATCTTACTATTTAAACAGAGCATGCTTTCTACTCTGCAGTTCTTTGTCACTTGACTGGGTTGGGCTGCTTTTGAAATAGAAAATTTTCAGCAGTGACACTGGAAGTCCAGTATATTTTAGATATTTTTTCTTTGTTTTATTTTCTATTTTGTCTCCTCACTTATTTTGTTTGAAGCTTTGGGGAGAGGTCACTTTGATTCAGCCTTGTAGTATGATTATTACCTTTTTCTCCATGTACCTATGGAGTTGCAATGTTGCAGCACACAAACACATGCAAATTCTAAGAAAATGTATTTGACAAGCATTCTCCTCTGTATCCTTACAGATAAATCTCTTTTTTAAGTATTTGTGATCTACTGTAGTTGCCAGATTTTTGATCATCTAACCATGCTTTCTTGGACTTGCTTCCCATTCCCTGCAGTTTTTTTGTCTCCTCGATAAAGTTTTGCTGATCCCTTTTTTCACAATTCTGCTCATTTATCTCCTTTAACTATTTATCATTGGCACACTTAAACCAGATTTGAATATGAATTGTTTACTAGACAGCTAATGTGGAAACAAAAGTTTTGTGGTGCCTGGTCTGACATACTTTTTTTTTAAAAAGGTAAGGTTTCTTTTGTTATACTGTTTTTTTGCTAGTACTTTAGGTATTGCCAAGGTTTCTAGAAGGTTTCAGACAAGAATAAGTTGCCACTGCAGCTGTGGTGAGCAATGAGGACTTTACTGGAGAAATACTTCAGAGAACTTAAACACCAGGCCTAATCTTCCCTGATGAAAAATGAACTGGATTTTTTATAATCACCGCATACTGTTGTTCTAAGTAGAGTTCCACATGTATTGTTCAGATTTATTTTTCCAATCAGTCTTTTTTATAAGTGTTATACTTGCAATAACTACACCAGTCATGCTTAAACTAAAAACTGCATATTGCCTTCTTTGAATGTGGCTGCACAGAATGAGGGATGCTGCCATGGAAGTCACAACTTTCAGTTAAGCGTTACTTTGTAAAGTTGTGGTCAACATGCCTACTAAAGCATTTATTTTCAGGTGTGTCCTTATGTTGTGATACTTTATACTTGAAACACATGTACTTACATGATTAGATGGTGCTGCTTACCCACCGCTGTGTTGTTAATACAGTCCGTTAAAATACCTCTTACAGAAATACACTAGTTACAAAAATTATTGGACCGGGACTAAAAGTACAACTGCTGAATTTAGTAAATTAAAAAGAAACTAACAAACTCCCCCAAAACCTTTAAATTAGAGAAAGACAAAATATAATGAGATTAAGGGTGAGCTTGGACATAGATTAATAGTTTACTTGATTTTAAATATATTTCAACTGAGAGCTTTGTATGAGACTTTTTTTCTTCTTCATACTCATAAAGTGTGTGTGGGAGATCCATTGTCATTACTTTTTTTTAATAAGTGGTATAGAAAACATATAAAGTACCTTTAAAACAAGTTTAACGTAGTTCAGTTTGAATGTAGAAAAAGATTGATCACATTTTCTCCTTCTGTGAAGTATTAAGAAGCTTTCCAGCAAAGGTTTCTTTTCTTCTTATCCACTTAGTGAAGATTATTATTTTTATTTATGCCTATGAAATATTCAAAGCACATGATTTATGTTTTTCATGAAAACACTAAGACCATTATCATTAAGCATAATTGAAAGATTTTGGGGGTTTGTCCTTTTTTACCTTTGATAAGACATTAATGTTGCACATAACATTTCTGTAGGTAAACTGATAACAATTTAGTGACTTAACAATAGTTGGTTCTGCTACTTCTGTTTTATATGCAGAAACTGTTCTGCAGAATGAAGGAAAAAGCATTCCTTTTTCCTGAGCTGAATCACTTTGAGGTTAGCCTTTCTTAAAGAAATAGTAATTTTAGGGTAGGGCCTTGTATTGTTTGGAAATATTATGTTACTTTTGAAAAAGGACATACAGTTTCAAATTGAGAACATACACCTAGATGTGCTCTGGGGGTGTTTGAAATGCATGAATATAAAAATCCTGAGGAGAAAACCCTACAGATTCAGAATACAACTTACTTCAGTTGCAGCTTACTGAAGCTGCAACTTTAAACAGACTAATGTGACTAATTTCTGGTTAAGTAGTTCTATTAAACTACTTATGGATATGATTTCCAAGCTGGATTTTTAACAAAGATTATTTATTTGATGTATTTCCAGTAAATGGGAAACACTCTT